CCCCAAAACCCCAAAACCCCGTCAATGATCATTCTTACAATTCAGGAAAATATTTATAAAAATAATCAAATTTTAAATCTCTTAATAATCAATTTATTTTCTAAGCTTTGAGTATTTTTTAGAGTAATTCTTGCTAAATACTCAATTATTTCTTGATTTCATCTTACTATTGACTCAATCTTAAAAAATCATTTTTGCTAGTATCATATTAATCCTTTATCTATAAAATAATATTAATGTTTGTTGTAGGAACTTACCATGATTTCTAATTGATTCAATTTTAAGCTAGTCTAATCTTCTTATTAATCTTTAATTGCAGTTGCATCAATTATTATGCCTAAAAACTTGTTTTTATCATCCAAACTTCTTTTCACATAGTTAGGAATTAAGTATTGATTTTCAAATATGATCCTAGCACGTTCTTAGAATGCTGCTAAGTCAGCCTTTTCATTTATTCTTTCAAATGACAAAGAAATGATGGCAATTAGTAGATTAAGCAAGACGATTGACATGAGAATGCCAGCAAAGACAAATAAAATCCAAATATAAGTAGACTAAACACTCATCTCATAGGCATCTGTGCTATTATCACCAAGACTCATTCTGTATATGTAGACAAAAGCATCAGCGAAGTTTTAAACAAATTTAAGTTCATCATCATTGGAAGCCTCAGCTAATCTGAGAAATGCTTCACCGAAACCCATGTAAACTATGAAAAGGATCATCAAAAATATTCGCATATCCCATATAACACCAATTATAGTTCTGATTAAATAACCAGTTGAATCAAATAATCTCAAAAAATAAAGAAGTTTAGTCCACATTGATAGACAAGCCAAACTATGTAAAGTATATAAAAAGTTGAATGCCTCATAATTTTCATTATACCTGGCATTTAAATGGCAAGATATTACTATTATTATCAAAATCACAGGTAAGAAATCTATATAATTCCAGATAGAAAGGAAGTAATCTCTGCCATTATAGATTATTTATCTTATTTCGTTAAATATAAAGTAGACAGAAAATGCGTATAGAATAACACATAATGCAACTTAACCATCCTTCATACCTGAGATTTCATAGTCAACTTATCCGCAAAAAACATTTGAATAGGCTATAAAAGTACCATGAAATATCAGAAAGGGTATGAATAATGAAGCTAAAGTATACTTCCTTGCTTTTGACCACTAATAATCAATCAAGCATTAGATTAACTCAATATTAAAGAGATCTAGATTTTCACAGTTTGAGAGCTTTTGAAAGAACCTCATGCTTATTTCATCAGAGAATAGATGTACTCTTGGAAAATCACATATCTTTATAGTAATACTCTTCTTAGATGCTTGATTATTAGTATACTACTTGATATCTAATTGATCAGGAATAGGGGAGAGTAGAGCTGGACAATAAGATCGACCATCTAATGGGATGAAATTGGCTTTTGTTATATATTTTATAGTCTTAGTCTGTGTCAATCGTAGACTCAAATACTCTGCCAAGCTTGGGGTTTCCATTTCCAGTATTTATGGAAGCACATCAACGACTATGAATGAGTGATTAAAGAATTTTGAGTCCGAGAGTAACTTTAAAAACGTATCAGCTGCAAGTTTGTTTTCATCCTAAATACATAGGTGCAGGGGGCTTTATCCAAATGTATCTTTTAGCAGCACAAAGTTTTTAATTCTATCTAATCAATTATAGATCTCATCAAGTGCTTGATTATTATTTGCAATCTTATGAAGAAATGTAGATCCATCTGGTAAAATAGTCAACAGCAATACCTGCAAGTCATAATTAGAGAGCTCAAATATATTATTCTGGCTGTTTTCATAATCTTTGACAATATTCCAATGATAGTGCGAAAAACTATGCTCAATAACTTCTTGTGCTCGGTATTTTAAGAACGAAGCATGAACTGTATAATTGAATTATATCATGACACTATCCATTTTGATTTGAAAATTATCTTACGATTGCAGACTCAACATCTATTTGCATTTATCTTACAATGAAGCAATTTATCTCATATATCTTTGCTTCACGTAAAATTTTTCATTACCATGCTCTTATGTAATTTGTCTATCAAACTCAGAAGTGCTGATGTTTTTTATTTGTATAATGTTGTTTTCTTACTTATTATAAATATCTATAACTTTTTCTAAATTGTTACTATCTATCAATGCTAAATAAGTATTTCCTCTCCATTCAACTCTTGATAATCCCTCAAGAACTTAAATCTATCTGAACAATTAGTTGCTTAATAAATCTCTAATTTAAATAGAATCCATTTCTAAGTAAGCATAATATCTTAAATCGTCTGAAATATTCCTTTGATCAGGGCTGAGCTTTATTGTCTTTGACACTTCTTTATACGTATATATATTTTCGTAATATGTGGATATCTTCTCATAGAGAGTATCTTTTAATACCAGCTTTTCATAATCATCACTAAACTTCATAAAGTTATCATTGTTGTATATCAATGGAAATAGAAAACACAGAATAATTTTAACTCTGTCTTCATTTTCTATTTCGAGAACCTTATAAAGCTTCATATCCTTATACTCCTCAGCTAAATCCTGATTTTTCATGCTAAAATCCCCGTATTTAACATCTCTTACGACTCTAACCATATTCTAGTCATTAATTTTAGATAGCATCCCCAGTTCAAAATTAGCATTAGATGTTAAAATTCTGTCATCTATAACTTTTTTTTGAATCAACTATCCAGTGTAACTGTTGAAAGTTAGAAGTTTGTTAAGGGGGTACAAACATATGATCTTATTCTCTATTTTCTTATAGGCATATAGGAAGTGGAAATTTATATTTTTGCCGAAAGGATGAATATGATTGTATAAGGGACATGGAATAATCCTGTAAATATCCTACCTCTTTCTATAAGACATTTTCCCAGCACTAAATTAGATATTCGAATCCAAGCAAGACTCTCTATCCAAAAGAAATTTTTAGTATTTGAGATCTACAAATGACTTAGTATTCATATACACTAGAGATATTTCATCATAGTAGAAAACGAGATTCTCATAAAATTGATAGCTGCTCAAATCTCTAATTTTATTTGTCTAGCTTACCTCAAAGGTACTTTTATTTAGAGTCATTATTTAGTATTCTGAGTAATTGTTCCAAAATGATAAAATGTTGCTTTCTTCAATCTCAATTACTCTCACAATTTCTTAAGTTAACTGGAGTGATTTTTCATCATCTTTGAAGGGGTAGACGATAGACTCGATTAATTTGTTGTCGAAGTTGAACCTCAACATTACCAATCTTTTGAGCTTTAAATCATGCACCAATAATTTATTTGTTTCATCAACATTTTTGTAGTTATAATCAAGAATCTTAAAATTACCAACTTCAAATTCTATAGTAAAGTAAGTTTAGCTATATGATACTTACCTTAGAAGGCAGCAGTGATATCATCACATTACATATTCATTTTAGGAAGCAGCAAAGTAGCCTTCAAATTTCCTTTATTCCCACTGATAATGACACTGAATGTGTGATCCTGATAAAACTATATAAGTCTGCCAGGAATATCAGTAACCGGACTTAATTTTATTTCACCTGTCCGCTAGTCTTCCTTAATTAAATGTAAGAAATAGCCATTATCAGCTGATTACTGCTCCACCTCTTGAGTTTTCAAGAACACGAAGAAGACCAAATCTCTAGCAATAACTCTCTCAATTTCTTTTTCTGAAACTATTTATTTGATGAGTTGGCCGTTGGTGATATCTATTAGAGTCAAGATGTTAAGATAGTAGATGCATATTTTATCCAAGGTGAATGTATAACTAAAGCTAGTACCACTTGTTTCGTGAAGGTATTACTAAACAGTCCAATTTTGGCCAGCTTACCTCTAAGTTTGTTCAATTTTTACAGATCCGTTTGATTAATTAAATTAGAAAATGACGTTAGTTTACCTCTCTATGCCATAAACTTACTTATCTAAATTGAAATCGATATCGCTGAATTATTATTCTGTTGACTCTTATAGTAATCCATTATTATAAATATCTACAATTCCATTTTCATTTAATATTAGTGATATCGTTGAGTTTCTATATTCAATCATTTTTTTAGCTCTAAATTAGGGGTTTTATATTGCTGGCAACTAGTATTACTTCTCCAGTTAGAGTTAATTGTTTTTATTAAGAATTTTCGATAAAATGATCTAGTTATCTCCAGTTTCAAAAGTGACTTTAGTACTAAAGCCATCGTTTCTCAGACCCAATATTTTTACTGGTCTTTCAAAATCCCCTATTTATAGTGTCTAGATATCATTATTAGTATCAAAGTCTTAAGCATTCTCTTCCTTAATCTTATCAATTCTAACTAGCAAGATCATATTATCTTGTGCTAGATACATCAATCATTGAGCAATCTTCAAATGCTGCACTATAAAATATAATAAATATAAAGATATTAAGCATGTAATGTATAACGAATGAAATCCTTAATAGATATCTTGTAAACACTTACAGCTGAATTGAGGGGCAGGGTCTTTAAGATATATCTCTTGAAATTGGTTCTCAGTTTAAAGATCAACCATTAGCAGTTTACATTTGACAGGCTCTTGTTCGTCAAGTCTGACAAAAAACTAGCAATAGTCAGTAATACACCAGTCCTTGATCTCATCTGTTTAAATAAATTCACTCATGCTAATTCTTACATTGAAACGCTCTCTGATATTTGACTTGGCTAGCAAGTAAAATCTGTAGGAGATACCTCCCTTTGTAAAACTCTCTGCTTTCTTCAAGCTGCAGCTCTATAACTTGCATTGCCTTCTCATTTCTGATTAGATATTACTTTTTTTGTAACTTGTAACCTAAAAATAATATCATTTAAATCTTAGAGCTTTGTGTCAGGTCATTCAAACAATTATCTGTTCTATTGAAAACTTACGAGAGAGATCGACATCAAGCGCCATTTCTTCGATGTACTGCTCAGGCGTATAATCAAGCCTTGGAAACTTTTGGTAAGGCCTCCGACTGTAGAAGCCATCACTGGTTTCACCTAAGGGCATGATTGATGCCTTTGAGTTGTCATAGTTAAAGGTTTTCATATTTAGATTATGCAACTTTAATTTTAATAATACTTGATTGAATTCTAAGTTTAGTTAATATTTATAGTATTATGGTACTTAATTATATTATTACTTTTTAAATTTAACCTATTTAATCTTATAAACTTCATATGGGGTTTTGGGGTTTTGGGG